AACAGAAGTGGGCTAAACTCTTCATGGTGGGAGCTGCTCCGCCTTGCCGGCTGAATTCTCGACGGATCGCACGAGGCAGGAGGACGCCGAGCGCCGCGACGACAGACCTTCCCGTTCCCGGAGGAAAGGCACCGGCTCACTCCCGGATCCCGACGGGGAACGACTCGCGGAAGCGCGGAACTGCGAAGAGCTCGGGAGTCAAGCTGCAAGTCGGCCGAAACTGTTGAGCGGAAACTGGGTCCTGTGCAGACGGAAGCTGAGCGCGGAAGACACCCTCTCGGGTGTCTTCCAGATCAACCGCCAGGCAAACCCCGCCGCGCCACGCTCACGCAAACGCCGTCGCCTTCCACCCCCTCGCAAGCCGCCGCTGCCAAGTCGCCGAAAAACGCACACTCTTTCTTTTTCTAACGACCGAGGCATACTGCCATGCTGAGNCTCGCGGAAGCGCGGAACTGCGAAGAGCTCGGGAGTCAAGCTGCAAGTCGGCCGAAACTGTTGAGCGGAAACTGGGTCCTGTGCAGACGGAAGCTGAGCGCGGAAGACACCCGAGAGGGTGTCTTCCAGATCAACCGCCAGGCAAACCCCGCCGCGCCACGCTCACGCAAACGCCGTCGCCTTCCACCCCCTCGCAAGCCGCCGCTGCCGGGTCGCCGAAAAACGCACACTCTTTCTTTTTCTAACGACCGAGGCCCACTGCCATGCTCAGGAAGAACGCCGTGTCAACACTGAAAGAAAGGATTGGTAGAATTTACCATTCCTTCACGCTGTATTTCACACAGCATGAAGGAATGGTAAATTCTACCAATCTTCAAGTCAATTCTGCCAGAGGAATGGTTACCTGTACACTGGGGAAAAAAAAACAAAAAAAAAACACATTGGATCTAGAGTCCAGACTCTTAAAAACATCAGATCCTTTCTCTCCTCATAGGTATACTTTCACGCGAGTAAGAGAATATACTACACTTTTCGGTGAGGGGTGAAAGTCTTAATGACAGTTTCGAGAATGCGATTGTCAAAAGTTGTGTCAATCCTAGCTTTATCGGGATGTCATTTTAAACTACTGATCCATGCAGACCTCCGGTTTCCGCGAAACTGCTCCCTCCCCCTTTTCCCCCTAATAATTTACCACTCAATGGGCGTTGTCAAACATATGCGATGCCCTCCGATGATAAATAACATAACAAAATAAGGTTACTAAAAAAAGAGTCACCAGTAGAGTTCGTAAATTGTTTTATTTCTCCCTGGAAAATTTCAAACGATTCCCAGGCATTCCACCATCCATAGCATAAGCGCCGAAACTTCCTGCCGGCATTATTCATTTCCGTTAGGTAACTCCGATTTTAAAAAAAAACATTGCGAGACTTTTGTCAAGGATCTGAGTTAAGTCCTTGAAATGTGGAAATAAGGAAATGTGGTAATCCTGGAAATGTGGAAAAATCTCGTGCATCAGACTTACTGATACTCATACTAACGCAAGGGGAGAAAATTGAACGAAAATTAAGTGATTCAAGTTTAAAAGCAAATATTACGTAATTAAATTTAAAAATTTATCTGCACGGAAAAAAATAGGGCAGTCGACACAACCAACGGCTGGTTAAAAATGCGCCAGCTACCGCACGCTAGTTACGATTACTACCAGGTTAGCTGTGACCTCCACCGCGGTAGTTATCGTAACTAGCGCAGGGTAGCTGGCGCATTTTTAATTTGTGTCGACTACCCTATTTTTTCCGTGTGGAGACAGAAGAGAAGAGAGAGAAATTGAAACCCTTGACTATGGGTTACGGCGTTTTTGTCTGCTCTCGATTTGGCGAATTAAAACTAAGAAGCGGCAACGCTATCTGAAAATTTCATTGCCGGCTCGCCGAAGCAAGCGCCCTCTTCAACGGCGACTAAATTGACATTTAGTGACTTTTCGGCAGCTCGCGGTGTGGCGTTATAGCTTCCGTATGGCTTCTCCGTCGCCCCCGCGCCGTTTGCAACCCTTCCTCGACCACCCGCTTTTCGCGGAGCGGTTCTCAGGGTTTTCCATGAATGGACGCGTTTGTGAATGGAGGATTCAAGGCGCCATTCCTACGCAGCCTCTCTATGACGTAAAACGTGACTTGCGCTAGTCGCAGAATGGGACGTCGATGGACGGATTTCGAGAAGCCAACTGCCTGGCGCCTACAAACCTAACAGGGATACTTCACGCATTGCGCAACGCGTGAAGTATCCCTGTTAGGTTTGTAGGCGCCAATGCGCGTTCCGCGCTGGCTGCCCGCGTGCCGCAGCTTGCCTATGTATTTGGTCCCATTTTTATGCACGGAGGAGAGTTTAACTAGACATAAAGGTGGACTCTCCGTACCGAATCGAGTACGACCGTCATGAAACCGGGACACGAGGAGACATTATGGTTAAATATTTCAAAGATAATTTTGAAGCGTTTAAAAAATGACTACGGTGGAATGAGCCACAGATCTTGGCGCCACGTTCGGATCTCGGCTAAAACCCGGGCCCAGCACCACAGAGTGCCGCGTCACACTCCAGCAAAATCCTCATATTTCCTTGGAAGTTAGCTTCAATGAGCATACCACGAGAATCGATAAATGGCTTGTTAGTGTCCAGAACTCGAACTGAGAAATGTTTGAAAGCCCCGATTCGGCTTCTCAACCATCCATGCCACTTAATAATTACAGTTTTCACACCTGTAGTTAAATACGGGATGGGGGGAATCCTTCAAATGTAAATCTTCATGAAATTCTTCCTAGCTGTTTCCGGCAGGGCCCTACACTGTTCCCTGAAGTTATTCGTACCTCTAACAGCATTATTAGTGCCTATAAACCGAACTAATTTCAAATTTTGATGGAATCAACGGCCCATGACTCGGTTAGACTTGTGATTAGGAAAGGATATTGCTACCTCAAGGTAAACGCATCACCCTTTTAAAATACAGACTTTTTTTTTACTTAAAATATCGTGTTATGAAAGAGGGAACTATTATACACATATCAATCCCATGAAATGTATTTTAATCACATAATATCTCTTACATTTACTTCACCCTCTCTCAGATCCTGAATTAATTCACCACAGAAAGAACAATTATAAGTACAGTATTGTCCCTGGTACAGTACCATTAGTAGATCTTCCTGATTTCCCATCACACTGTCATTGGTATTAACTCCTGCTCCTCTTTCATTTTCCTTGTTGCTAATTCCTGATTTCCAATCACACTATTATTGGTATTAACTCTTACGCCTCTTTCATTTTCCTTGTTGCTGATATCTGAAAGAACCTTCATCTTTACATTCATCCCTGTTTTAGTTCTAATCACATTTGCAATATCTCTACCTTATTGCTTTTATCCGAGAGAACCTTCCTGTTTACACTGATCTGTGTTTTAGTTCTAATTACATTTTCAGTATCACTACCTGCAAGCAAAACATTTCCATTGACATCCCCTGCTGCATCACTCGCATCTATTATGGTACACAGTTTCATTAGTTCTCTTCGTTTAACTTTTTTGTTCTTTGTCGGTTTGGCTTTTGGTTTTCTTTATCTTTACTGTTACATTAATTTTATCCAGCCCTAGTTCGTTTTTTAAAATCCTCCATTCCAGTAATTTTTCCGAATACTGAAATCTGCCACTATCAATTTCTACTCCGCCTTCCAGGATTTTGGCATCAGAATTTGTAACGCAGTGACATACTAAAATTTGACGTTCATACACATGAACAATTATACTGTAGATAAACTTTGCATCACCTGCAGCTCCTCTGATAGAAGTTTGACATAATATTTTCCTGTCTCCTGAGACAATGTAATAACGCTTTTGCAACCGATTGGAGATAGTTGCCAAAGGCAAGTATCCTTTGGGGAGGGATACCTGCTTTGACGGCCTGCAGACGGCGGTTTGACATACTTTGCGATAAATTGATTGGTCCGTCATTTAAACCTATGGAAAAGGATCGATAAATATGTTTATCGTATGTTCGTAACGAACACCTTAATAATCGATTCTTTACCACAGCTTCAAATGGGGAAATATCTATAATAGGTCATTCACACCTCGCCACTGTGCTCCCACTTGATACGGATCAAGGGTGCACATTGGCGGATCCAGCAATTTGGCAACACCGGATTTCCTTTATTAAAACAAATGAAAATGTATCGATTGTTTGAGGGGCCAAAAGTGCTCCCACAAGAATCGATTATGTAGAATAGGTTTAAATAGAGGAATTCGGTATTGCCAAGTTGCTAAATCCGCCTCTAGGGGTGCACAAGCAGAATGATGATATAGTTTCAAGAAAGCATTCCCCGGATAGGCAAGCTTTTAAAAATAACAACCTCATGTCTTTTTGCGACTTGTTCAGTTTACTTTTTCTTTTGATAAATTCCACCTTCGAGCAGTTTTGCAAAAAAACTTGATCAGTGCTACAACTAAAATGACAATCGCTATGCTTGCAACTAAGTATACCACGATGATATCCAATAAAAGAAGTTGGTACCACGGCATCTTGACAGTTAAAGGTTTCAAGTGATGAGCTCCTTTGTGCCTAGTCACATATTCTATCCAATAGATAGCGGTGTCTAAAGATGACATGGGTTTGTCAGATAGAATTTTTGAACCTCTTTTAACATTTTCCTTAAACCTGAAAACAGAATGGGCACCGGATGAAAAAACCTGGCACAATTTACCTATATGAACAGCAAATAAAGGATAACACCAATGATTTGACTATATTTTAGAGAGGAAACTTCGTATGGAAAAAAAACCTCCTTTTCACGGTCATGTCCTGGTCTTCAGCTAAAGACTTAGAGACCTGTTTGACTACGGTAAGAGATCCAACCGAGAGATCTTACACAACATGGAGACCGTTCAAAAATTCCCAAAAACCATAATTCTTTTGACGAAAGTAGGTTACGTGAATCTCGGATGGCGAAGGGAATATTTATAACTACATACAGGGTTAATCAAAAGTCACGCACCACTGACCATGAGGGGGTTGGCCATTTGACATTTTCAGTTGCCGCCCCCCTCCCCCTGAGGGATACAAAAACTGGAAAGTATCTCAAAAAGGTTTTCCCTCGATATGAGGAAAAACGTCACAAACCTCAGGTCGATATCTTAATTAGAATTAAAGTTATGACCAGTGGTGCGTGACTTTTGAATAACCCTGTATCATTAGTTGGACTCCTTCCGCAGACAGATTTTTAGCTCCTTATTTGGTTCTCCAGAAGTGACTACGTTCTCTTACCGAAAATTCCGATTAATTTTCCTCTCTTTCGTTTGATGAGGATACTAACCGTCACTTGATCACCACAGTAGTATATAAGTATATAAGTATATACCTCATTTTACCAAATTTAGCACCATTTATACCACATTTAGGCATATCAAAGCGCTGGTGAGAGTTGTGAAAGCGGCTTAACATATGTATCACCGCATTTCATTAAAATTAAGTCTGTGCATTAAATTCTTCAAAAGGAGAACCTGCAGTGGGAAATTCAGCAAATCGATCCCAAGGATCTGACGACTGTCCTATCATAATTTCATTTTATTTTATTTTTTTTTTTGCGGAGAGGTATTCAGTTTTATCAAGCATTTACCGTGGATCTTCCAAAACAGTCTTCACTGCCCAGCGCAGCGTTATCTCCGTGAAGTTGTGATCGTACAGCACGCGCAATCCGTATCCGTAATACTCAATACTTGCTGCAGTCATTATTTGGTCATCAAAGAAAGGTATTGCGACCATAGGCACTGCATATTTGACCGCCTCCATTGCACTCGATACACCTCCATGAGTAACGAACAATACGCATTTCGGATGTGCTGGATGATACAAAAATGAAAAGTTTCACAAAATTAGCAGCGAAACAAAATTAAATTTTCCAAGGTCCTTCTTATTCTCACTTAGTAAAATTAGCGCTTACTTCCTGTGACTATACATAACACTTGCATCGAAATCATCATGCCATTGTAACTAAACTTCTTGACAAACTATCCTTGGTTTGAGCTGATCAATTGATATTCACTGGGATGAACTAAATATAAGCTGATGTCAGTTTAGATCTATTAAAATGGGTCAGTTGCGGTGGTCACAGAATTTCTGTATTTTTCAGCGTTTTGATGTTTGATTTTTGTAGATTAGCTAAGAATAATAAGATCAATTCATCCTGCCAAACCAATACAAATAAGATTAGGCATTGTTTCATGAACAATAATATTGTAACAACGAGGGAGAATAAATTGATGAAAAATCAAGCGATAAGATTTTTCAACACCTTGACCAACGGTTTAAAAGTAATGTACAGAGAAAGTTCCATCAAAATATTCCTTAACCAATTGAAAATAAAACTAAAAAATAAAGCTTATTATAACGTAAAACAATTTTTAACGATCCTGTATAATTTCATTTTGCTTAAATTGTTGTATAATTGTGACTTGTGCCAGAGCTGTTTACTATAGGCTGTATGCATCAATAAATTCAATTCAATTCAAGATAAAGCAGAGATCTCCTCCTACACCTAAACGACACGAAGAAGACCGAAAACAGACGAACGACTCTGCAGTGCTGATTGCATCATTGTCTCTCAACTGTCCATCCCACGTGTCACA